TATTTCGTTTCTTTGTTAAACACACGGAAATTGAAATGAATGATCAATTGATGCGAAATGGATTTAGACACCATCATTGACATCAATTATGACGTCTTTTAGCTGTAGCTAAAATATCCCAGCATGTTTCTATGCGCATGTTAGAACGCTAATAAAGCCTTTTGGTCCAAAGGATGTCTTAAACCAATATTTATACAGACGACTCTATTCTAGTACTCCTTTCACTACATACGTGTACGTAAATAAACATGTAATACAAGAATATGATATTTCTTACTATGTAGACTTATCTTTTAAAACAACCATAAAATTGTAAATGCTTATTTTGGAAAGGTTAACACTTTTTTAGACTTTCGACATCTGAAGCCCCTATAAGAGAATTAATCATAAGAAGTAGGTGACGGCGTGGACGAGTGGTTAACGCGTCGGACTAGTAATCAAAGGATTGGTTACGGTGTGGGTTCAAACCCTGTCAGGGGCAAGCCGTTGGTTCCTTGAGCAAGATACTTTACATTCATTGCTTAGTACTGGTTGGTTCCAGGAACGGATTCTAGAGTGTTGTAATAACCTTATAGCTGCCAACACAATCGAACTAAAATAAAATTTGTATTAACTAAACATAAAAATAATGTATTATTTCCCGTCCTCTCGAAACGAGGTTTGAAGAAATAACTATGATAATAAAAACAAGATTTATTACTATAAGTTGAATAATGACTTATGTTTAACTGCGAACAAGACTATAAGATAGTTTGATATCAATGCCGCTCGAAATTAATATTTCCTATCTCAGATAAAAAAATATACATAAAATATTAGACACCTAAACACCATATATCTTGAGATTTAGCTTTTAATTCTAATCAATAGTAAACAAATCAATACAAGTCCAGACCAACAACCTTTTTAACTTTATAGTTCCATTCCTAAATAACCGTAGATGTGATTCTTTGTGTGTAATACTAAGGCTGTGCATTGACCTTTACTTTATTCACGTTGACTTCCAAATTTCACGAATTAAACCTAACAAATTCTATATTATGTATTGTTGTCAAAGATACATGTCGCTCATTGATCTGATTAATTGCATTGTGTTATCAAACTAAAATACAAACAAACCCTATCAAGACTTGTATTTAAAATTATTCTTGGATAAACAAGAAGTAAGAGCGAAGCGCATTATATTACATTACTAATTTATTGATGACGTCAAAAACAATTATTTACAGAAAATGGCACTATCAGGTGAAGATAATGAGTTTGAACGTGTACGTAATTAGTTACTGCACAATTTGCTTTGTTATCAAATTCAGCATAGCGGACATGTCTAATTGTGTTTTGTCATAGCCGTTGAATTCAATATATAATGTTATAACCAAACAATATGTTGTACCTGGACTTAAGAGTAGAAAACGGATTTGTATTTCTAATGAAAGCGCTTTTATATTTTAATCTGGACAATTGGCAATTAAGTTCAAAAACATACAAAGAGTATGGTATTTGTATATAATAATTATCAAAGTCTTTATGACTGCCCTATGTTTGGTGATTTTAAAGTTTGGTTTATATTTAAGTTTCTTCATTTAACATCACGATTCCTGAATTGACTGTAGAATTTCCAATCTAATAAAGATACCATGTTCTAATTGCGGAAGCTACTGTTTAGTTAATATTAAGTAACATATTCCGCGTCCAGACAAATGTTGTAACATTTTATCTCTTGGGCATCTTTTCTGCAGTATTTTATAATGAAACTGATTACAAAACATAAGTGCAATGTTAAACATAATTAAGCTAGTACCTTCATGGGAATAAACGCGTTTCTTCTTGATTTATATTCAGAACAGCGTCGGCAATGTTAATTTAAAGGAGCAATATGTATGTCTAACAGAAACCCCACGGGGAAAAAACATTTTCTAATCTTCTATGGAAATGTAGAATTTTAGTAACAAGACGCAAAACTTTCAAAAGAATAAATTTATATTATTTCTATTAAAAAATTTCATGTTGATAATGAAATGATTTTAAAATCCTAACTTGAAATTCGTATTTAAGAAAACAAACAGATAAACAGACAAAATAAAATAAAACAAACATATTTCATTTGATAAATCTTGAGTTACCGAAAATAAAAAATAATTAAAAACGATAATCGGAAAAAAAATGCAAAAAAAAAATTCGGAAAATTGAGGGGTTTTCGAGAGATGCAGTCGAATCATAACTGATAATGATTTAAATAAGTACCATTTCAATCCAAAGAAAAATGTGTCACATCTAGCTTACCACATGTAAAGTAACACATTCTTAAGAAATCAAATGTTATAAAGAGCCTTTTTTGACATAAATGTTTGCAGGCCATTTATAAATTGTTTGCTACAATGCACAACGTGAGTACCTGCTATTTCTGCAAGATGATAAAAAAGTGATTTTAGATCCTTTAAGTCTTTAATGCCTACTTTATTCTAATTTAAACAAAACCAATATTACTCAAGAGAAATTTCAATGTGATTGTTTGGTATTTCTAATTTTATTTTTGTCACATGCAGTGTTTATTATTGTACTACTACAGTCAATTAAGCTGGAAGCTAACTAAGTTTACGTAGTTTTACCAGCAATTGTAATAACGACTCTGATAGGTAATCAGCATGATCGGATTTCAAACAAATGAGTGAAGTGCTTCTTCATTGATTTTGTCACCTTATCTAGAGTTTCAACAGGGCCTGTCATTTGTGATATAAAAATGTTCTTGGTGTAAAGATAACAGCGCAGTATAAAACATACGGAAATAGAGAACAAAACTTTATCATAAACAATAGGCAGAACTATAAGTTTTAATGGTTCGTTCCGTTTAAATGTCTTGGGAGTTTAGACTTTTAAATATCCTTCAAAATAATTTGTTAATTGATAAATAGTAATGATTCACGTTATTAAAATTACTCGCTTGTTACAATAGATTATGTGACCTTTATTTATAAAACACTTATCAAATTGTATTGTCTGACTAGTTGTTATTGAAATATATGAAAGGCAACGCTTTGACCAGAAGAAAGACCAGGATTACGCTAAAAAGGGGGATTTGAAAGTGAAAGCTTTATGTACCTGCAGTACTACTTTCTCAGGATTCCCTAATATTCAATGTGCAAAATAATAGTTAATTCGTCTCCCGTCTCTTGACATGTACATAACCTGCTGGAGCTAGAACATCCTAACGACATTATTAAAAGGACTTATGTAATGCGTGTTAGAAATACAGTTTAAAAGAAAACAGACCATGAATAAAGCAACGCGTGTATGTAATTAACGAAAACTTTGATACATGAATAAATAAGAAAATAACTAACTCCCAAATCTTAAATATTTAAGGTCACACGAGACATGGTGTCTCAATTTAATTTTGTAAATACTAATTAAGTTTCTTTAACATTTTCGTTTTATGAAATAGATACTTTGTGAAAGATCGTTCTATTTCGAAAGACATGCCCACATTGAATTATTTGTACCTATAATTCAAGGTATCAAGAATATCAATTACATTAATACTATTTTCACGAAACATTTTTGAAAATATTTGATAAACTTTTTACTGACTATATTAATTTTGCTTCAGACTAAACATTATTAACGTTTAATACATGAATAAAACAGTAGTGAACAAAGGGAGATATGGTATATTACAAGCAACACATACTTCATTTACTAATGCTGCTCCGCAATTATTACACAAAGATATCCATACAAACTGGTCTTATGTTAACCCAATGCCATGACTTGGAAAATCAATAGAACATCTTCACATAAATAAATAAATTATGGAAAGTGAATTTTTTATTGAAATTCCGTAAAATACAGTAATCACTATTACGATATGTTATTTCAATCGTACCTTGTACAATCTTAAAAGTGAAATTACTTTATAATTACTTGCTTCTTCTTTTTTGTATTTTGTCGGTAGAATTTTCTCTTTCACAGCGCACAGAAGACACATTTTATTATTTACGATGACAACATCATTTCCTTTTGTTCGCAGAGCGGAAATAACACTGTGATTTTCAATTCTCAAAATGTTTTTCTCCATTTGTCGATACAGCCAATAACAAAGACTCTTTTGGTTTTTTTCTAACATGTATGTTAAAATGTGTTAAATTGGTAAAATTAAGCAAAAGAATCCATGTATGTCATTTTGATGATTTATATCAACATATTCAAAAATGCATAAGACGGTACTTGTGGGCGTGGACGATAGCATGAAATAAAGAAAAAGGGACTATTATAAGCCCCGGTCACATATTCACGGATAACGTCACGGAAGAGCTACGGTCTAATTGTTCACGGATTACTACGGAAATGTGAAATTCCGTAGTCCGCTACGGTTCCAGTACGGACGCACAACGGTATGAGTACGGAGTTCGACGGATCTACCGCTAAAATGCAGGTAAAATCCCCAGGAGAGCTACGGATCGTTACGGTCCGAAATGGTTTGATACGGAGAGACACGAATCAGGACGGACGCACTACGGATACACTACGGTCTGCTACGGTTTAAGCACGGGTTAGTACGAATCAGTACGGTCTGCTACGGTTTAAGCACGGGTTAGTACGAATCAGTACGGTCTGCTACGGAGAAGAACGAATCGCCACGGATCTGTACGGTCCATTTATTATCGGGCTACAACCTCTTGCATGCTCATTTTCGAATATGCCTCCAAAGAAGAGATATAGAAAACGAATTGCAGAGACGAACGATTCTGCTTGTGAGGATTCAGCCACATCTCGCCCGACCCCTGAGCAGGAAGATAATGCCGTTAAGGTTGATAAGCGCCAGCAACCCCTGCATTTAACTATGCAACAACAAGATGACATACTCAGCTGGTTTCAGGTAAAATAGTGTTGTCATGGTACTGTTAAATTGTTCTCGTCAGTGAAGTGAGCAGTAATTCTGAAGTTTTTTTGTTTTTTAAATTTTACATTAGGTCGTACGATGCTTAATATTATGATTAAGTTGTTTTAATGTCATTCCATGTAGTGACTAGGGCAAATTAAGTTCCTAATTAAACATTTAGAGTTTGTTTGTCGTTTTAAAACACAAAGGACATGAATTCTTTAATACTTTCAGGAGAATGATCTTTTGTATGATAAAGGGCACTCAGACTATAAATTGACAGAAAAGAAGAATGCCCTCTGGAAGGAAAAAGCAGAGGAACTTGGCATATGTGACGGTGAGTAAACCATAATTATGAGTAATTTTGACGAATTTAATATTTCTAAAGTACTTGTAAATATTTCAAGAGCAAATACAGTGTGTTGTTTATTGTTGCACTTATAAGCTATTTGATACATTTTCAGGTGCAAGGTTAAAGAGCTGGGTAGACAGTATGCGAACTTAGTATGGTAAGCTGACAAAACGACCATCTGGATCCGGTGGACGCCTATCAGACAGAGATAAATGGATTCTGGATAAGTTATCGTTTCTATCAAAGCATATCTACAGGGTGCAAAGTCGTGGTGGAGTCGATGTAAGTATTAAGATCTTGAGTTTTTAAAGCGGCAATTAATAATTTTGTATTAAATATACTTTAAAAGTATTTCTACGTACATTTTATTAGACACTTTAAATAATGCGTATGGCTTAACATAAAACTATTTCAAGGGGATTTATCGATGAAAGTACATTTTTCTAAAATATAAAACAAAATCAAAAAAAAATCTGAAAAATAACAATCATTTTTTTATATATGGGTATATCTTAAATAAGAGGTGAAATGATAATTATTATCTAAAAATATATTGTTTTTATTTTCCTATTCAATAACCGTATAGGACATTTAAAAGGATGTTGATGAATATTAATGTACAGAATGTTCATTCTTACTTCGGAATAGAAAGTTAATTGCTTTTCCGGACTCCATTTCATCGGACCTATAGAAAAAGCCTTTAAACGACAAGCGCGTAGTTAAATATAAATAGAAACCGAAAACTAATGTGACAGTGTGATTATTCTAGGCACTGCATGTAATCAGTATTATATGTATTATATCAAGTTAAGTTTTAAACAGGAGAGGTGAAGGTATTAAATCGCTTAATTGATATATATAAAATTGTTAGAGCACCTAGCTGAAAAACAGGAGATTATGGGTTCGATTCTGATATTAGTCGCATTGTTCTGACTCTAATGAATGTATTTTTATGTTTCCAGCTTATGAAACAAATTCGCGAGAAACACCCAGAGAGGATGCCGGACTCCGACGAAAGTGGCGAGGATGGCGAAAATAGTCAAGATGATAGAGAAGAGCAGCTTCCGTCCGCTTCACCTGCATTGTCAACTGCCAGTGGAGAGCAAGATACATCCACATCAGGTAATCGGAAGAAGAAAGCAAGCAGAGAAGAGTCCACAGCCTTGCTTCAACGCTTGCAAGAACGTATCCAAAAGTCAAGTCAATTGCAGGAGAAGCTGATTGATGAAATGTCGGTACCAAAAGACCCACGGGTAGCAGAGCGACGTCAGTGGGCACAGTGGTTTGGTTCTGCAATTACGGACATTGATGACTCTCTATGGTCAGATTTCCAAGCAGAATCTCTTCAACTGGTCAGCAACTTTAAAGTGCGCTCCAAAAGCCTACAGCAAGCTCCTGTGCAGCAATTTCCCTTGCAACCATCTTTGCCGTCAGCCGACCAGGAGCGTGCAGATTACCACACTGCAAAGCGTCTTCAGACAATTAACTACTCTTCAAATCCTGGGGGTTATTTACCAGTATGGCAGCAGATGTACCAACCTCCTCCTCCGATGTTTCCTCCACAATCTTACCCAGGAAGGTCACAGTCTGCGCCATTGTCCACAACAGCGACAATAACAGCTGGCCCCACGTATGACACAGTCCAGTCCACATCTACAGGTGCTAGTTCTGTCGGTCAGGCTGATTCTTTGCGAGAACTCATGACCTTTTCGGGAATTACGACCGTTAATGAATCTTCCGAAAATGATATTGTTGACGTGTAAATGTTGCGTAATAAGTTCATATTCTTAATTATCATGGACACTTAGGTTCTATAAATGACAATGTGATTTCTGTTCATATGGCTGTTTAACATTTTAAACTCTGATTTGTTAATTGTTAGTAATTCCGAATGATTCCGAATGATTGACATGTTTTGTTAATTATTTTCTAATGTTCAGTTTGTAATGAATATTTACCTTTTAGCATGTGTCGTTGTTTTTGCTTCAACATAAGTATTTCAGATCACTGCAGCACATAGTGCTAAAGATGAGCTATGGTCAGCCTATTTCCCTAGTCCGTCCACCCAACTGATAATAAGATGGCCACAATTGTTAAAAATAGAAAAAGGATTTAAACGACTTCTCCTTAAACTTAGGCCGAATAAGATAATGAATGCAGGGCGGTCTTCTTAGTCAAGTGTAGAAGTTGGCAATAACTTGCGGTAAAGAAGTTGGTACTGGAACAGAATCCAGGAACATCGGGTAGGTTAACTGCCCGCCAGTATATGATGGAAATACTGTTAAAAACAGGTGTAAAACTCAATCACAAACAAAAACAACAGAAACGTGGTCAGCTTAACAATACGGCTGATAATAGCAGTTTTCGCTCAGGTAAGAGATGAAAGTTATATTCGCAATCGAGAGTAGTAAAAATGTTATCTGCAAGTCGTTGAAATTATATAGCTTAATTGGTACTAGGTAATGGTATTATTGATAAATAATAGTCAGTCATGTGACTGATGAATTTTTTTCTTTATCTAGTCACAGACGATTGCATATCCCTGGTACTGGATACAAGATTGCAAATGGACATTGAACAGAATAACTACAAACATTGGCATACATGTGTGACTTCATTTATTTTAAAATCACAAATAACATGTTTTAGATTAGGTAAGTTGTCACATAGAGTACTAGAATTCAAAAAATGAACAACATCAACATAATTTATACAGAACGGACCTGCACATTCGCTTTGTCTAAACAGATTTGCTTCACATAAGTTCGATTGTCCTTTATATCATTCTATCCTGCCATTCAACAGACCCGATAGGAGAATTTAAGTATTGTTTCAGGTACAACCTCTGTTGTTTTGCCTGGAAGGTATCAATATTTCCACCCCTTGGACACATCAAATTGTCCATGTTGAAACCATCTCTCCATGCTCCAGGAATGACTTGATGGGCGTCGTCTTCTTGATCCATTTGAATGTTTTGATCACCAGGATATCTTGACCTCATGATATTGTGAAGGCAAACGCATGCGAGGCCTATCGAACATACTGTGTCTGGTCTTTGGGGCATAACAGAAAGTAGGCATCGGAATCGGTTGGCGAGAATGCCAAAAGCGTTCTCCACAACTCTCCTGGCTCTTGACAGGCGATAGTTAAAAATTCGCTCATCCTTCTCAAGACCTCGTCTTGAGAATGGTTTCATAAGCCAAGTTCTCATGGCGAACGCATCATCTGCGATAATATAATATCCTATTTGTTTGTCATCACCTGGAAGGGGTGTTTCATCTGGCATGCCAATCAGCCCCCTTTCGATTGCCAACTTGAGGTCGCTCTGATTCCATATTTGTGCGTCTGAACATCCTCCTTGTGCTCCGATATTGACCCATGTAAACTTGTAATCGGCATCAACCAAGGCAAGTAGCACAATGGAGTGGTATCCTTTGTAATTATAGTATAATGAGCCACCGTTCTTAGGACATCGTATGGCCACATGTTTTCCATCTAGAGCTCCAAGTGTATGTGGAAACTGCCATTTAGCTGCGAACTGGTCTGATATTGCCTGCCACTGCTCAGGCTCAGTAGGAGTCTGGATAACATCCTCGGCATACGCTGAAACTATGGCCTCGCATACGTCCCGTACAATACCACAGATTGTGTTATGTGCAACACGAAAACCATACATCAAAGAACGGTAACTGTCGCCTGTTGCCAAGTATCTCAAGGCAATTGCCAACTTCAATGCAGGATTAATTGGCCGCCTGAACCAGCTGTGATTCTTCGTTATCCTTGGACCAACAACATGTAGAAGTTTTTGAAACATATCAGGTTCGATTCTTGTGAAGTTCCTGTAGGACGCCGGATCCTCTGCTACAAGTTCGGCCATGAGAGTCTCATACTGGCAATGAAGGGGTCTGCGCAGAAGCCAATCTCTAGTCCACCATCGCCTCTGTCTTCTCTTACCTGATTAAATATGTAATGAAAAATGTTTAAAAAAACTGCGTAATTTTTAATTTTAAAATTGGTTTTTAATTTTACCATTGCATTAATTATCGTTAATGTTTATGTTTAAATTATAATTAAAAAACTTGTTAATTTTATAATCACTCAATGGGCCAGCGTCCGAGGCTTTTGAGACACTTTATTCTATGTGCATTTTTACTCCAATTTCCAGATCCAATGTTTGGTAAAACATGAAACCTATTACTTATGCATTGTTGAACGATATTTATATGGAATTTACCCCTATGATTGTCATCCAGGAGCTCGATCACTGCCTCAGCATTCTGAACTATATCAATATCCAGTTGCAGCCACTTTATGGAAAACATCGTTTGTTGGATGTTCATGATTACGTTCGAACATGAAAACCTATATTATGTCTTTTTTTAAGAAGAAGTTAGTATTTATACCCTTGAAAAAGTGGTGGACCGTACCAATCCGTACCGTTTCGTGTTGCAACGCAATAAACCGTATAAGACCGTGCTAATCCCTGCCTCTCCGTAGTACAACGTACTACGATCGTGGCTTTCCGTGAAAATGCCGTATTAATCCGTTTTAAAACCGTAGCTTATACGTAGGGAAACCGTACAAATACGTAGTTCTCCGTACCAAACCGTGGAAATCCTTCACAAGTTGGGGCCTACGAGTCAGTACGGACTACTACGGTTTTTGTACGGAACAGAACGTATCAGTACGGTTTAATACGGACTAGTAGGGATACGCTACGGTCGATTTTTCCGTAGCAAATTTTTGTGCATGTTCAAAAATTGTCAAGGATCGCTACGGATATACAAGGACTACTACGATTGATTACGGTTACAATACGGAGAGCTACAGACCAGTACGGGTAGCTACGGATGATGCCGGAATTTATCCGTGGCTCTTCCGTGGGCGTTTTCCGTGAATATGTGACCGGGGTATTACGCTCAAAACGACAAAATTTAACATGTTGAAGATTCGGTCTGATTGAACCTTAACCGATCTTGACATTTACAATTTGCAGTTCTGAGACTTGGTCGACAACCAAGATTTCCACTTTCAGCTTTCAAAAGCTTTGCATCTTTCATTTATATTTAAATAACGAAAATAATGAGGATACTTTGATATGAAAAGATAATTATTTCCTAATTAAAATTTGAAACTATAAATATTGGGGGATTTAAAAAAAATAATGGGGATACTTTGATATCAATAGATGATTATTTCCTAATTGAAAAGTTGAAATTTTCGGGGGATTTAAAGAAAATAAAAGTAATTCTCTATGTCTGTCATTTTTAAATGTGCGATATGATTAGGACCGGTCTGCAAAAGCAAGTCTAACAATACAATCGTACATAAGATCACAGCACCATTCAAAAAAATCTTAGCGAGTCGATTCTCTCTTTATTGGCACCAAACAGAAACGTTTTCAGGATATAGGTTATGCGGTATTGACCTGGTTTTAGAAACTGTCATTGTGTTGTTAGAGAATATTACCGATAACATTTGGACATCTGTTTTATATGTTGCACACGTATATCGTATTTAAACAGACACTTTCCATATCTATAATGATTTCTAGAAAATAAACGGCGCCAAACTTCTGAAATAAAACCAGTCGTGTTTTGTTTTGAGTATGTGATATATTACTTAAACATTTTGCTTTGATAGAAATGAAAAAAAGTTAACGAAACAATGATGAAGGAAAAGGAATGTTAAAGGGTATAAAGCTTTATCTAATGAAATATTTTTAAATATTTAAAGATACTGTAACTCAATTTTTATAGTATTTATATGAATGCATATATTTTAATGATTTAAATATATTTCAAAAAGTTAGACTGTTTCTGTTATTTATCACATATGAAAACTTTGCGATCACAAAACTTAAACTAGGTCGTTTTACATTTAGCAATAATTTCGTGCATACGCATTTTACTTAAAAAAGAAATGTACGAACATATGTCTTTCATACATGCATTCCCCAATTATAAAAGGTAGATCTTCCAATTTATGTCTTACATGTTTGTTTGGCATTAAGTAATCAGATAGAAATATCGGAAAGAATGATAAGAGTTGGTTTTTGCAAAATTCGTAATAATACTTAAGCATTTTCAAAAATTATACGTTAACAAAATTAATATAAAACTTGATATAGCATATTTATATCTTGCTTAAGTAAGATAGAACAAATTGGATACTTGTTTTTGATGACAGATATGACGTAGGTTAAGTACAGATACCAATTAAAAAGGTTTCCACTGATTCTTTTTGTCATATCACAACTGTCATAATTGTTTTCAAATTATTGTACCATTTGATGTAGTTCTATACCAATAACCTGTTTGAAAATTGTAGGTCCTTTGCTCAATCCGGTATCGAAATTTTATCATTTTTAATTGTCCAAAATGACCCAAAAATAAAAAAAGGGTTGAAACACTTTTTAAGTCAAATCAGGCATTTAATCGCACAAAATAGTTTTTTAAATTGATTCCGAGTATATTATGTAAATGTACTTTTTTCGTTTTAAGTAACTTATTCAGTCAATGTAAGGATTAAAAATTTTAATTTAAGGTAAGCTACATGCCTCTAGAAGGCAAATTTTAAATATTTCGAGAAAATCAACCTTGAAAAAAATGCACTAATACTTTAAGAATAGTAAATATACTTAAAGTTCAAGACATCAAGAAAAAAGCAAAATGAAACTGCAGAAACAAATTATGCGTCAAACTATTGATTATTGTTGATCTAAAATATACAAATACCTAGAACTAAACTGAAATTGTTGCTGCTTTGTTATATTAAGCATGTTCAAAGGCGATATTGGTAAATGTAAGCTGCCGTCCACGCATCCATGGCCAATTACCGGTGTGCACCATGGCCAATGACCGGTGTCGGATAATTATCGCTAGCGTAATAAAATTATCATACTTGTGATTATTACATAGTGCCAGAATTATCACAAAATTTGGATGAGAGCCTTAATAATCAGACGCCGACGTCATATATTTACTCTTGTATTATCTTTATTTCCAATTTTAACTTTATTTCCGCATCTTTTCAAATCAGAATGCTATACGTTCACATTGCAATATCTTAAAACGCATATTTATGCAGCAATAATGTTTTTACATAAAATGTTTATAAACAAGCCACAATTTGAAATAAAAGGATCATATACATAGAAGTGAGAATCAAATCAAAATTAAAAACGAATGAAATATTTGCTTGCAGAACATTAATTTATAAATGTATCTCCAGGGCATACTTTATCGGCATTTTTAATAAAAGTTGACGAGATACTATGATACAGGTTTGTCCCTTCGTGGGAATACGTACACGTTTCTTCATCGTCTGTTAGTTGTTGATTTATATTCAAAACAGGTTCAAAAATGTAAATTGAAACGAGCATCTGTCTACACTAATCCCACAGAGCAAATATATCATGTAAATTACTTGAGAAATGTTGATATTTTGTAAACAAATAGTAAGTTATCCTGGTGAAAAGGTTTATATTAAAAATTATATATAAAACTGTAAGTCAGTAATTATTTATAAAACCCTCCAGGCTGTAAATGATGCAAACATAGACATTTGCAATTAATTGTGTTTCATCCCCACATTTTTAACTTCTACCGTTCACATGACAAAAGGTCATAGGTTACAATACGATGTTCATTGAGCTCTTCGAAAAAGTTACGCTCTACGAAATTAGATATTGAGGAACTGACTGATATATAATAATTGTAAACAATGGAGTTACTAGCGATACACATGTCCGAATATGATGAGCCAAAGAACAATTGTATAATTATCTACATACATGTTTCCACAGTATGGTCATACTTAATTAAAGGCAACTTCGTTAGCGTTACAAAATGTATTTAAAAATCTACATGCTTTGATTATGTGAAATGAAATGCTATTTTCCTGTAATTCTGTCACTGAACAATATTAAACGAGGCACAAATCGACATGGGTAATAAAACTTATTTACAAATGATCAAAATAAAAATTATATTTTCAAATAGATAACAATATAATCATCTAAATGAACATTCGTTCTATAAATTATAAAGTAAAAATTACTATGTTTTCATATAACTAAGATAAAAGTAAAATTGTATATAATCATATGAAAGTTCAAGAATAGGAAATACATTTGAAAAAAATTTTAAAAAAATGCCCATGGGAAAAAAAGGGAAAAAATATTCATCTAGTTTTACCCCGGTCAAACTTTTTAAAATAAAATTTGGTTTTTTTAAAATTTTTGAATAATGTTTGCTATTTTATAAACCCTTTCGAGATAAGCCTTTAAAAATAAATTTTTAAATTAATGAAAATAAAAAATATCCCACTCAGAATTAATTTTAAACCCAAACTTTTTGATAAAAACATAACATTTTAATGGAGTAGTTATTTTCCTGGCTACAAATGCAAAGTAATTTGAGCTTTTCAATCGAATCTACATACAAATAAATATCCATTTCAAGTTTGTTATGTCAAACTACCAGACAACGAAGATGTTTAACACACACTTAACAGAAATGAATTGCTCAGTAAACAATGAAAGCTGCAAACAAATACTCTTATGTTTATATCTTTAAGATGTTATAAGTATGTCTGTTTTACGTAATTCTTAACTAAAAGCAATAAAGAAGCTTTAAAAGGAATCACAATGTCTCTCTGCCATGTATTTGAATTAATAAATGTTTCTAACAGAAGCTTAATAAAAACCGGAATGTCTTTTTGTCTGGACCAAGGTTTTGAAATAAAGGACAACAGTATTTCAAACCATTCAATCTTAGCAAATGAATATCGATAATTTGTTCTTTCTGAACGTTATACTTAAGGAGAAATGCTCCTTTCAAACATTTTGTAAAACTTGAACGCCGCCTTTCCTTG